GAAGGACCTATAAGGAAAGAGCATTCCCTTGCAGCTTGTCATAGGGAGCTCCTGGAGTTCATGAAACTGAAGGGGCTGATGGAAAAGAGATGGACCATTTGATTTGTTCCTGTGATTTTCATTGAAATAAGCAATGAGAAGGGTTTAGGCACCTAACTCAAAACTGGCACCAGGTACTTCAACTTGCTACAGCCTGGTCGCCTGCACGCTGGGTATGTGATCATTGGCACRTCCTAAGTCAGGATTCTCCACCCCACGTTTCTCCAGGATCCGGAGTGGCACTTGGACATGTGAAAAGTCTGACCTCTTGGGCATTTCCTAAAAATAATTATGCTTTTATTGCTCAGGTGGTTCCATCAGCAGAAATTCTTGCTAATCCTAATGTCTCCATGCTGAGATCCTAATGTCTCTCAGCAAAGTAGTCAAAGAGTAGAGAGCTGCCTCAAATTCCCTGTGAAGTCTGGGGAGGATCTAGTCCAGTCTCTTCCCATGAGTTTCCTTGGGTCTTGCTATGTTCTTAAACACATTTTAATCGCCTGGCTTCTGTGAAGCCTGCCTTAAGGGGCTGTTAATAGCTAATATTGGCATTTCAAGTTTCACTGCCATAGCCAAGAGGTTTTCTTCAACATACAATGCTTCATTCGTTTCCGAAGGGGCATCCAACTCCACGATGAACAAGAGTGGGGAGTTAAGCATTGCTCCATTCTTCCTTTATATAAAGAGCTATATAAAGTTTCTCCCCTTTTATTTATAGAAAGGGGGAGAAACTGAGGCAAACAGAATGTAGAGTCCAGCAAATAAAATAAATTGTACTTGATGCATTATAATCTAATCTCTACTCTACTAACTCTAGCTCTTGGATGGATGACAGCCATAGACTGTTGTGTCCTGGTTTACTCCAGATTTGTGTTTGAGCATGTTCAAAACAATTTGTGTCCTATTAATTAGTTTATTAAATTATATTTGTAAAAATTGTAAATAGTTACTGCTCATTAACCAAAGTTGATGAATTTGTAATTTATGCTCACACATCTTCATAAAATCTAGCTACCTTAGATATAAAATGAAAAATTGGAAGAAATGAGCACTAGATTTGTGCTTATGTGAACCTGAAAGATAGTATTTGGACTGAATACTACGGATTTGGGTGTTGTACTAGCAGTGCCAAACTGAAAGCTTAGGATATGATTCCATTCCTAAATCCCTTTGGTGAAATTTATTGGATCAAAAATTGGAATTTAAACACAATGCAGAATCTCGGAGTGATTATTCCTGGTGTTATATTTTTTTCATTTTAGGCAGGTTTGTGGACAGGATCTGTGTTCAACCCTTTGGCTAGAGAGATGACAACGGTGCTGCTGATGGGCCACGCAGTAGCGAGTGGTTAGGCAAGAGTCACGTCTAGAAGGACTTGGGGAAGAAACAAGCAAAGAGCATCTGGTTCAATAGCAAAGTCATGACAAAACCAGATTCATACTAAAGGGAGATGTTTGGTCATGATTCTTTAGCTAGGCTAAGAGCACAGCATCAAGTCTTGCGAAGTCCCACTTAAAATGAATTCTTGGTTATGGTAACAGGAATGTTTTGGTCACATGTATCATACTTCAGACTGAGCAGCAGAGACATTTTTTTTATTTTATTTTTTTTTTTTTTTTTTTTTTGCGACTGGCAAAATTAGACTCCTTCTATGATATTGAAAGCTTGTTAAACCTCTTGATCTTATTTAGCTGGCCGTAATGACCAGTGTCGCCAGGACGCTGCAGCCAAAACCTAATCAAGATAAACATTTGAAGAAACGCAGTCAGGAAAACAGTGCTGTTACTTAAGTGAAAGGAGAGTATTTTTGAGTGTCGGAGCATATGTGGATGCCTGATCCAACCCAAAATGTAAATAYAGGTATATATGAGGTGCAAGGGCATGCACAAAGTGTGGGCAGAAGTATAGAGGCTCAGCCTGCCAGGTTTCACTGAGGCCTGGCATAGCCCGGGCCGCTTTCCTGCAYGTGCCTTTGGTGGAAGGGAAATAAATCACTTTGGCATCAGAAATATCCTGAAAATATTGCCCTTGGAAGGACTTATTACGCCATTCAGAATTTCAGAGGTGCAGAAAAGGGTGTGTTTGGAAAAAGAAATGAGAGGCTTAAAGGTTCCGGTTGTCCTGGGAACGCCAAAGCAGATTCTTGTATGCCTGTAAAACATGCAGGAGGCCACTTTTTTCCCTAGAAAGTCACCAAAAAGTGTTGTGGAAGTTTCAGCTGTGAGTTTGAAGAGCTTGATAATGTTCTTGTTTAAAAGAAAGTTTTAATTGACTTTTTTTTTTTGATTTTTCAGACTGATTAAGGGTAAAGCTRTGGAGATGAGTATTAATCATTCATTAATCTCTGAAAAGCACAGAAATTGGAAGCACCTTTTAACTGAAATAATCACCATCTTATTGCCTATTCTGTAGGTATTAATCTCTCCGTAAGGGAGCCATCCCCATTATCTGTTGGTCCCAACCATAACAAAACCTGAGCTATTAAATTTTTTGAACATACAAATTTACCCATGTGTAAAAAGGACACAGGGCCCGGATACTATGAATTTGTCTATATCATATATTTCAAATATTCCTTACCTTGGGACAAGCAGTAAAGTACTTGTATCTAGCACAGTATGTTCTTGCAGAGTCCTGGTAGTTCRCAAATCTACCACTTTAGCACCAAATTGTCACATTTTTCAGAAGAAAAGTTAAGGAAATACATCTAATAAGSCAGTGACTTAATAAAATTGGTTAAACTGCAGAAACAAAGTGATATCAAAGGAAACTTTGACTGTATTTAGGAGCTGGGGAGGTTGTTGCAGATGTTGAGGGGCACATCAAGTGGAGAGATATCCTAGCGTTTCCCTGTTTCATTTAACATATTCCATGTAAGGAATACATTGAAGAGTCTCTTTTAATATTAGCTGGGGGTTTTTTAGATTTTTTTTTTTTTTAATTAAAGGGCTGATCATATGCAAGAGCCCAGTGAAGTCTGCCGGTGTAGCAGGTATTCAGAGAGCAGCCYGCTGCTTGTGCAGGCAGGTCGGGGCAATAAACCAATTAGCGACTGCACATCAGGTGCTTTTGCAAAATGCTCCTTGCATGTTTGGGGAACAATATGGTCTTAAGCTCCACTTTACTTTTCTTTCAGTAGCTTAAGGAAAAGAATGTTCTCCAGCGGTAACATTTTTACAAACGATGTCAAACAAATGTTAGAATACAAGACCTAAGGCAAATTCCTCCCCAGTGGTGGTGGAGCCGCTCGCCTGGGTTTTTCCAGGCGTTGTTTGTGAGTTGAGAGCCTTTCGTCCCCATGGGGAATAGCCCCATGTGCRCCCTGCCTGGCGTAGCAGCTACAGAGCTCAGAGGACGTGATCTTCTCAGCTCCTGGCTCACCAAGGTAGGTTACAGGTCCAGCTGCATGCTAGAGCCAACCCCGCGTTGCTGGAGCTCTTRCATGTGCTTCATACTCACATAGCTGGGCAAATAAATTGAGGGTATGTGCCCACAGCTGTTGGTATTGCTCRCGTGTGTGTTGCTCACGAAGCAGGGCTCGCTTCTCGAGCGTGAAGCTAGTTTTGGTGGATCCATGTGGGTGGCAGTCAGAAATACTTGGAGAAACGAGGCGAAAACRAGAATAAAATCCCCTTGTTTTGTTTTGACGTTTTGAACTTGTTTGCGTTTTGCTTTCGTGAAAGGATAGAATCTTTTTTGAAAATACTGTTGAGAGGTTAGTGCAGCTTCTTGCGATGTTATTTGGGAAGAAAAGGTTGGAACCTCTTATTTTCAGTATTTTATTAATATATCACAGCGATTTAGTAGCATGTAATACCAACACGCTGTATAGTTCTGCATCTCTTAAACTGCTTTTTTCATTGCCACATCAAGTTGCAAGTCTGGAAATCTCTTCGGTGCGTCCCAGAAGTGCAGTTAAACCAGGCCTTCAATGTCTTGTCCAGATATCAGTCTTGTATTAGTTTGGTCGTAGTGACTTAATCATGCTAAGGAGGACAGCTAGCCTGTAGGATATTGTTTCTTTGGGTATAATGCAAGTTCTTCTGTGTGGAAATGCATTGATTTTAGAAGGTTTTGAGGTGCTGCAGCCACCTTAGACGATGACTATTGCTGTCTGCTGAGACAGAGACTTCAGCAGTGGTCCTAGATAGCACCAAGCTGCACTATTGCGATCAACAACCTCTATCAGTTCTTCAACAAGTGTCATCTCTCTTCTCTTTAAAATCCACTTTTATTTGTCTAAACTGGAATATGAGAAATATGCCATCCTTGCAATTTGTGAAGTATCGTATATTCATGCTTCTTAATATCTAAGAATAACAACGCTATTTAATTGCAGCTGTCTGTGGGAATACAGTTTGGAGTTGAAGACAGGACACAATGTAGAGGCCAAAAGAAGGCTTTTTTTTTTTTCTTTTTCCTTTATGTGGTAAAGCAGAGTTCTAATAATAACGTTTTGGGATGTTTTCATGGACCATGGACAAAAAAGAGATTTTTTTTTTTTTACAGTTAGTTTCAACAGGGCTGAGCTTTCCAGAACATTGTTTTAACCCATTCAAAATGGTTCAGGATGATATGCCCTTTGCATTTTTGGGGCTGTGAGGAGCAATTAATGGCATTATTCACAAGTATTAAGCGATATGCATCCAGGCATCCTTAACGAAAGTTGTATTCTTTCTTTGTTACCAGGATATTCAAATCCAATTCTTACTATGAGAGAGGCTGCAAAATGTAGTGGAGAACAATGAGAGAAAGGCAATGACTAAGCCCAGAGCTTCGCAAAACCTCCAACATAATCAAGAATAAAGCTCTCCTTGCTTCATTATCCGCCTGATTTTCCCAAACTAAAGCGAGAAAAATACAGTATACCATTAAAATCATTGAGGAATCGCACGGTACAGAAGGATGAAAAAGGTTAACTGACGTACTCACCAGGGCACTTTGTGTTTTTTTTTGTTTGGAAGGTATCTCACTGATGGCGGCCTGGGCCTGTACGCGCGCAGGCTGACGCGGCTGCCCGACGGGATGTCCGCCGTGCGCGAGGCGACGCCGCGCAGCGCCGCGCTCGGCCTGGGAGATGCCGACAGGTAAGCTCCAGCCCAGCAAGTGGCTTTGCATTTGGGTTCGGGTGTATCTGATGCCTACTGGAAGTCAGTTTGATAGCTTGGGGGTTCAGGGGCTCAACGCAAGCCTAAAAGCTTCGCTGGGGTACGCCAGGGTATTATTCCCAAGTGCCAGGATAAGCACCGACTGCCTTGTGTTTGCTTTCCTGAGTTCTCATCTGGGCTTCTGTGCACAGGGCATAACATAAAATAACTGCGAGTATTCTATTTTAATAGCATTTGAAATATGAGAGATTTAATTTTCGTCTCACTTCCCCCGCTTCTTTCGAGGCCAGTGATTCAGTGTGAACAGCCTAGTCCAAAGATCAAGTGTTTGTCAGGTGACTAAAAACCCATAATTTATGGGAGTGTGCTCATACAGGAGGACAAGGAGGTGGCTAGTAATGAGACCCATGTTCTGCCAGAGCTGAGAGAAATGGGTTAAGACTCCTTTGGCTTTTAATGGAATGGGTTAAGACTCCTTTGGCTTTTAATGGCACTGACCTGTAGCTGTTGCTTTGCCTTCCAAAACAAACACCTGAGGAACGTTACTGTTGAGACACTAGTGCATGTAAGTAAATTGTCTTCCTCCTGTTACTGTCGTTTCTGAACGTGGCCACRTTCAGTTCAAGTGAAAGTGGGTCATTTTGCATGTAATAAGGACTTTGTATGGCTGCTAATTTAGCTGCAGTTGGATCACAGATAAATTAAATTGATGCCAAGTTCAGTGATGTTATTATGTGTTGTTTTTAGTTAGTCTTTTCTGTGTAGATCGCAATACTTTTTACCTTACAAGATCAGAACTTGTTGATAGCAGTGCAGCAATTTAAAAATAGCTCCTCTTTTGGACACTGGTGCTCAAAATCTGCAGTTTAAACACAAAATTAATCTTGGTTTCAGATGCAGTTTTATTGGTTGAAAATTGGCACATGGAAAAGGCTTATTGACACACTGCACACATGTTCAGTAAGGAATTGCTCCTCTCATTCTGTGAACAGAGGCAAGCAGCAGCAGYGCTGAACTGCTGTATAGCACACCTAGAAAACACATATGAAGATTAAATTTCRCTTGCTTGAAGCAGATGTTAAGTGAATGCATGGGAGAGGCTGTGAACCTGTAAGCATTMGGTTAATAATGAAAAGGTTATCAGGGGAATTTCTGCAATTTGCTCACTCATTTAGTTTCTTGTGTTTTAGTTGTGGACGTCTAGTTGCGATGCTTGTACATGGTGGCTCTATTAACACAAAGCACGAGGCCTTACAAGGTGCATTTTCCCCTGCAGCAGGGAAATCCAACCAGGCAGTTCAATTTAATGCTTGATTGCAAGGTTAATGGAATCGTTGCMCAACACAGCTGAGTGTATTTATTCACTTCAAGGCAATTTGTGTTTGTATGGGGCAGGGGCATTTTCAATGCCCTTTTATTTAGTCTGCCTTTTTTTTTAAAAAAGGTTGTAAATTAGCCACCTCTGGTTTTGTCTGCTCTGTGTATATGAGCGTGGTATTCACCGTCTGGTTATTTATATTCATTTTACATTATCAGGCACAGCTGCTTCATCTGAGATTTATTTCTGCCCTTACATTCACGTATGCAGCTTGCATTTCAAAATCGATATAGACTGAGGGGCAAAATACGAAGTGTTGATTTGAGTAAATCTCTCAGTAAGTGCTTATTTATATAACCTTTTGTTTAGATGAGGTAACTCAGACCTGTGTTGACCTGTAGCCACCTGAACAAGTCAGGAGACTGTTAATGGATGTGAACTTGTCAAGAGTGACTTCAAGGCTGCTTTTAAGGCAATGTCTGTATGACACTTTTAAAAAGTCTCATAATGGAGGGCTTAAATTACTACTTTGGGATATGATTAACTAGAATTGTTTAAGTTCTGGAATTTACTTGGTGATTGTGGGAGTGCTTGCACATTTATTATTTAATTTGAAGTTGTGCAAATGACAACACTTTGCGTAAGAGTTAAGGCATAAATTAAAGCTATTTCCAGCTTTTTCTTTGGAAAGCATTCATCGGGCTGTTCCCAGAGCTGTCTCCTAGGGTATCAGGTGACATTGGCTTTGTACTTTGAACAGCTCTGGCATGTGTGGACTGCAGGTAAAACCTGGCTCACGTGTAGAGCACGGATAGGACTGAACTGTTGAAGAGCCTGCTTATTCTGTGGCTCAGATGTGCAACAATTTCCAATGCACTCTTGTTAGCTTGCTGTTAAAAGAGACTCCACTCAATTTAGCCGTCGGGACTYGCCACTGTAACCAGCTCCAGGAGCATTTGGTTCTTCTGTCTCGAGCCCAGATAATCCCAGGTCAGCATGTGGTACSAGGTGAGGAAGCAGGAAGGAAAAATTGGAAGTGAAACTGTAGCAGAGTTAAAAAGGCGGAGGACTTTCAAAGCCTATCACTCTGTGAATGAGTTTTTTTCAAGTGCTATTACTTATAGCAACTTACACAAAGGGCAAAAATTATGGTTTTCAAAAACAGGTAAGAGAATATACTGCTCTTATTTTTTGTTTTCTAAAATTCTGTTAAGTTTATTTATCCATTTCTTGGCTCTTGGTAATAGATGATGCTTCACATTCGTGGCAGAAAACCCTTACACTGCAGTGCATTTAAGTTCACCAACTGCAGGTTAGCTTACTGGCCTTACTGACTCCCGTTACACTGGTGGAAATATTAAAAAAAAAAAAAAAAAAAAAAAAAAGCATTAGTGTTCAGTGCTGGAGGGAGGTTATCAGACTACCTTGATAACTATGGGAACCAGGATTACACTTGAGAAGAGCTAGCTATACTTTCGTGCTAAGTATAATAGGGTAACAGGGCCTTAAAGGGTATGCTTCCAATTATACCTCTCTTAATTGACACAAGGCAGCTATAGTGAAATGAGGGTGCTTTGCAGATGAGAGGTGGAAACGTCCTCCATTCCAGGGGAATATCCACCAGGAAGAATGTCTCATTGCCACGTATCTCATGATGGCCATGGCTGTGCTGCCCTAGAGAGGGCAGCACGATGCATAAAGAAAGCAGAAACGGTGCCTGGAGTTTAAGCTAGTCTTTGTCCTAAAATGTTAAAACACGACTGGGTTAAAATTTAATCTTYGGATGGACCCAACTGTTGTAAAACTAAATGGAAGCAGATATTTCTGCACTGTAACCTTTGGCTCAGTGGCAGTGGTATTTCCATCATCTCTCCCCCACGGCATCGCCCACTCCTGTAGGGCTCCCTCTGGAGCGATGACATAAGTGTTTGTGGAGTTTCCCAGCCAAAGAGCGTTATCCAGTGCGTTAGACGAAGGGTGCATGGAGGGAGGATGTCCTTGCAGTCAGGAAAAGGGATACCTAGACCCATTGGAGGCGTCTGGAGGTCTCAGGAGAGCTCAGCTAAGAAAGATGCTAGGCTGTTGCAACTGGACCAGGCATGTTTCACACCATCAGCCCACCCTTTCCTCATCTCCAGCAAGCCCTGACAGCTGCTCTTGGGTACAGCTCTTAGACTGGAAATCTTTGGAAGTTCTACTTCTTCCCATTTTTCTTTCAGTGGAATAGTGGAACACCACTGTATAAGAATCCAGTAAATGAGCATGACTTAAAAATATCTGCATTTTGTAAGTGCTGGCATCTTATCATTCATTGTTTGCTGTATTTGTGCCATGGGTCATTACAGCTGGAAATGTAGGTTCTTATATAGTTAACTTAATAGCAAAGTCATAGAGCTGGTAAGATGCTTAGTGCTTAGCAGATAGGCTGTGCTGGGCAACCTGTTTGGATTTTGTCAGTGAATTAAAAAGTACAACTGCTCCTAAATATGCAAGTTGTCCCTCAGCCCCTTCAGATACCTCTCTGTCTGTCTTTGAAAGCTGACACATTTATCTCAAACTGACTAGCAGATGCAAGGGAATTCGCATTGCAAAGCTCCTTTGAAGTTTATGGCCTTGGGATCTGCTGATTAGAATCACAATACCATATACTTTTATTCTGCAAGGAATCTTTTTTACAAGCAGCAGTCCAAAGTGGTTTGGGGTTACATAAAGTAATTCCAAAGTTAAGCAACAAATAGTAAGTTGAAAGCAAAGGTATAGCAGCTATGCCCCAGGGMTGGAAGGAGCAGCACCAAAAAGAAGGTTGCATTTGGTTTCCAAACAAGGCAAAGTTAGTCAAGGAAAGTGCCAGTTTTTGTTTTAGTGGGGGAAACTGGGCAAACTTCTGGGCACGCAGGCTCCTTTTCAGGTCTGAAATAGAAGCAGGTGTTCTCATTCCTAAGCACAGGTTCCTAAATGTACCCAGATGTATTAGTAGTCTAGACTAGCTGTGAAAGAAAGGAGCTCAATAGCTAAGAAGCAGAGGAGCAGCAGTTAGGAAGGAAGGACATATTATATTCATGTGCTGCAGAAAAGAGAAATTATCAAAAATCAGAAAGGGGTTTACCAGAGAGAGAGAGAGAGAGAGAGAGAGAGAGACAGCAGATTATTACAAGGTGTCAAGTATGTGTCTTTATTAAATTCATGCTTTTAATAGCACCAAAGTTGTTCCTTTAATTCTTTAGCTTGTTCTTTGAAGGTACCTATAGTCCTCCCTGGAAGAAAGAGAAGCCGAGGGGTCAGAGGTGGTTGTGTGAGATGTCAGCAACTCAGGTTAGGACTCTCCTGTTGCCCATATGTTCCTCCACAAACTGGTTGGCCCTTTTGCTAGGAGCTCACACTGCTACCTGTATACAGGTGAAGGAAACTTGTGTTTTTTTCAGAATTACAGATATGGATGCTATAGAAATAGGAAGCTGAGTAATTTGTACCTGGGAACAGTAAAATCAGGAGCTTATTTCACTGGGACTAGATTTTGCCACAGTGACATTTCTTTTTACACACACACACACACACAGAGGCTTTTTGGCGCAAATATAAAGTTGATCTGTCTGCTGCGACCCTGCTGATGCTTCTTGCTCCCTTGCCAGAGATTAGCACTGTCTCTTCCATTGTATGAAGT